GAAGGTGACATGCGCGCGCGCGCATGTGTGTGTGTCCTACGCGGCTTGAGGAGATACGTCACGGGGAAATCGATAAATGTTTCGTGCGGGAATGTCACTGCCGAGGCTGTGTTATCGACGTTGTTGGAATATCGATGTCGCGCGTCGTCGGTTTCGTAAGTGCGCGACACGTATTTCAGCGAGTCGCACCGCGCCGGCTCTTTCTGGTCGCGCGCGCGCGCGCGTGAACGAATAAACCTGGCGAACACACGTGCAATTAGCATATAGTCGCGCACATTGGGTACACAGTGAAGCGTGTGCACGCGCCGCGCATGCATATGCATCGCATAGGCCGGAATTAGTCCGAAATGTTTAATTGAACGAGCATCATCGACGCGCAAGTCTGTTCGCCGTCGCGATTGATGTATTAACGCAAACATAACGCTATCAAATCGCCGCCCTCCTTAATAATATTAGCTGTGCAAGCAATGGACGGGGGACATATACACACATACACGCACATACACGCGCGCATATCGGCCGATTGCTCTTTCAGCAACAGCGCGGTAGCCACACTTCGTTCCGTTCGCTAATTAGCGCGCGCGCGCAATAGGAAATATTTAACGTTACGTGTCTTTAATTACCAGTCCGAGCATCGTCCATCGACCGAATTACTCTGTCAATTTCGATCACGTGCTAGGTATGAGGAGCACGAGAGGCAGGAGGAATTAGAATTGTGCCCGTGCATAGAAATTTGTCAAGATTTTCTCAGATGCGGTAAGATAACTTAAAACGCTCAAATTTGCCCCAAAATTGCTTATCCCGCTGCGATACCAATTTGTTCTATAAATCCTATTTTTGTTCCAAACGTAGATTCTTTGTCTAAGAATTAATACAGACATACTATAAACTTGAACGTTTTTTTAGTCGATAATGTCGCGATATATTTTTGTGGTATCAAACTGGGAATTCTATTTTTATATCAACTATTGTATTTAATAGAATAAAATATAAAAATGAAATATTTTTAAAACGCTTCGAGCGTTTTACTGAATAACGAGATCGGATTTGGAAAGTCGACATGTTTTATTCGATTCTAACGTAAAATGAAGACTGGGTAAAATATTGGGAGAACTTTGGATTACCTCACTTTTGAAATATGTTTGAAATATTACACTTCTGACGAGAATCCGTAATTATTTTGGGCAAGTCGGTCTGAATCCCAATTAGATCCTAAGGAATTTCCTATGGGTGTGGTTCTCATCGTCGAGTCGCATAAATGCATTTTATTCGCTGATACGCGGTCTTTCGTGCGACACGCAATAGCAAGAGAGAAGGAGAACTTATGGCACACGCGAGCCGACATTTGCACGAGGGGTGAACGAAAGGGAGGGTAGGAAACGGGGGTGGAGGGCAAAAATACCTGGTCCATGATAAATGTCCCGACACCCATCACGACGGTGCAGCGACGTCACGACGCGTCCCTCAAAACGGAGCTACAATGCGGCCTCTCGTAGCCATTATGCTAAAATGCAATCTCCTGATAACCGCAGCCGCGCCATCGCGGGGCTTAATCTCACCTATCTGTACAGCCGTCGGGGAACGGAAACAAAATGGGAATGAGAGACCGGTCCGCCTGGCCGGGTGATTCGGGATAAAGAGAGCGGCATTGGGGATGCAGAAGGGATGGTAGAGCCAGGGTGTATGTGTGTGTATGTATGAGAGAGAGAGAGAGAGAGAGAGAGAGAGAAAGCGAGAAGAGGGAGAGAAAAAGGAGAGAGAGAACGAGAAGGGACGAGCGAGAGAGGGTGGACAATGGTGGCGGAGACTGGAGATACGAAAAGAAATAAATTCCGCAATCGATAAGCGTCCGGTTAAACGTCAAAGCGCACCGGTGTGGGTAGACGAGGCACTTTCGATCCTTGACAAAAAACACAATCGCCGATATCCAGGGGATATAGAGCGCGCGCTCGCTTTGCCTCCCTTTTTCCGGCTCGCCCGCATCTTTTTTCTTTCCTGGCGGAAAGTCGAGTCGATGTCGGAGTACACGTTGTAATGCTTGCGATCTCTTTGGATTCGTTTCTCCGTTCCTTTTCTCCTTCTCTTCCTCTCACTCTCGTTGTCCCTTTCTTTCTCTCTCTTTCTTCTCCCTTTTCTTTCGATACAAAGCGACGAAGTCTCGCAATTTTACTGCATTACCGATCACGATATCTTAACAAGAATTATTCTCAACATTTTCAAAATTATATTTAAGTACCCGAAGACTAAATCGCGCTCCAAATAACATATCGCGCTCCGCAATTCACACAGCATGTAGCCGCTAACGTCGCGCGTAACCGACACGCAAGATCCACGTACCATTGGTACTGTCTCTTACGCTTACTTCCAAAAAACAAAAAAAAAAAGAATTACGATCCGTGAAAAATGTCGCCAAAATGTCGAATTCGCGAATACAGGCCGCACATGCGGCGCGTTATTTTTTTTTTGTTATTTAATCTTTGTATTTAATCTGGCAGATTGAAATTCATCGGGATATTCAAATTTTGTCCTAGAGAGCGTTGGAAATAAACGCTCCCCATATGTATCGTTTATTTGAAAGTGCTGCAAGTCAAATTTCGAAACGAAATGGTTTCAACCTATTTGCACGGCGTACATAAATGCATCATGGATGATTCGCGAACGTCAAACGTCAAATGTCGATATCATCGAACACATTCCCATTGACACATCCGGTATGATTCATTTGTTAATACAAACGGTTTATATCAGACTCAGCTACAATTCATATGGAAGTGCATACCGTGCATATACTCTTTAAAGTACAATCAATGTATTTTTCACTGTGAAATATGCTGTAGTTATAACTGAAACATTAATTATAAATATAGCACTGCGATCAGTAAAATCTCGCTGAAAGAATTGATTAATAGTAGGGACTGTTATTTATCCTGTTGATGCAGTTTGCAAACATGAACAGAATTTTAAATTAAAAATTGCTATAGGACTTTGTAGCCGAGGAATAGATCGATATTCTGCAACAATTCACTATCCTTTCTTTCGTTTCACATGTGTGCTACTTATATTTTAAGAACTGGATATTTTAGGAACTAAAAATTATTAAAACACTTGGTATGTGTCTAGCGAAATCTACTACAATACATTTGTAGCGAAATTTAACATATTCCTTAGCAAGATAGACTTTGTTGACAGCCTATTACTGAGCTATCAAAAATACATTAAAATTAAAAAGAATTTATATGAAAAAGAGAAAAGAAATTATTCTTTCCGTGCATAAGTGCAGAAAGTTGGATTTGGCATAAAGTATAACGAATTTGTGTACTACGGATTTTCCAGTGAAATTTCATTGCCACTAATCGGAGATTTGAGATATGAGATAGAGCAGTAAAATGTTTCCACTGAATATTCAAGTGAATATTCGCTAATAACTGGTTATTAGCGAGATACTCCTTTTACTGATTCAATCAGAAACATGTTTACTGATTCATCTTAAGAGAACCAATGTGTGCATGTGTCCGTATCATATATATGTATTTCCGCAAGATTCTCGAAACTTCAGGATTTTCTCGCGCGCGAATTCACTTCGAGAATCATGATGTGGTCCGCGAACGACTCACGAATTTTCCACCCCTCGCGAGGCGCACAAACATCTCACACCACGACGTTGTATCTCGTGTCACGAGCGTAATTTGCTTAATCGTCGATAATTATTGCCGCGACTTAGTCAATGGTGGGAAGAAGTATTCGCCGAGTGGCGGCAGCGGCTGTAAAATCGTTCGGCGTTTAGCTCTCTTCCGAGGAGCGTTCGGAAAGTTTAGATACCTCTTCGGGATCCTCTTCCAGGCGAGCGAATAAGCAGGCATTAAAGGCTTAGACCACAGATCGAATTGGAAGTACCTACGTAGCGCGTTCCTGCACCTTTCCTTTCCATCCCTCCGTCCGCTTCCTATTCCTCTCGTTCGTTCGCCATCGTTCTGCAACGAGGACCAAGTATGGCCGTGCTGGGGTAGGTTAAGCATCGAGGATCGTCGAGATGCTCGACCGGCGAAGGACCGCAAGGCGAAGGACGACGAGAGCGCACTTAATGGAGGATCATCGTGCGATTTCGTCCGAGTTCCGCCGGCGAGATATCTCGTACCGTGATCAGGCCAAGACAGATCGTAAAGCTAGTTACAGTTCTCTCTCTCTGCTTCTCTCACCTCTCTCTCTCTCTCCCCATTGATTTTTTACGCGCTGAATAGTGTTTCCTGACGCGGTGATGGGGGTGACCGACCGAAGACAGTCGGCCAAGAGTCTCACCGGGAGAGTTATGCTCGCGTGGACCGCGCACCGATGGTGCTTTTCCTTTCCAAGTATGATTCAGAACGTGTCCGTTCTCCCTGTCCGCCGTCACCGCTGTTCCACGCGTACAGATACGGACACTGCACGGGCGCGCACGTGCATGCGCGCGCGAACAATGGCGCTTTCGTGTGGCATGGTACGGTTGAATAAATATGCAATCGTAGTCTGTGATTGTATATTTACGCAACCGTAGACTGACAATCATTCTGGTATTAGACAAACATACTGTTATATTCTATTATTATTCGCGTAATTCGCGCGGCACGCTATTGGGCATTGCGCCGCAACATAATGACAAATTTCATAATAATTTATTAGTTGATAGATAGGTATGTAGATAAACCGACAGGCGCGGGTGCGGGCGTTCTGTACCTTTTACAGTGATTAACATTTTAATATAGAGCGCAAATGTAACTAAACGTAGCATGTAATATGTATTATCATGAGTTTAATGTGTAATACGCGCTCGCTGAACCGTTGTTATGTGTTAGAGACATATCAATTTGTCTCTGGAAGCGCGAAGTACGCAATTACGTGTTTTAATGCGCCGCTGGCGCGCGGCTGCGATGATTTCTGTGTATCTCTTATTTTTTCCTTTTTTGCTCGACGTCCTCCGAGAAATCGGTTCCGACTTCTCATGTGCCTCTCTCTTTGGGTTTCAGCGTCACCGAGGCATCGCCAAGCGGTCCAAGTTGAACTCCAACGCGTCCGCAGTGCATTCGGTGAGTTATTTCACACAATTCATACATTGCAAAATGTATTTGAGGGATAGAAGATTTTTATTAGGCTGGTACCGACAAGAGATATTTACTCAAGTCTCAAAAGTATTTTATTTAAATGGAATAAATTATTGCTCTCTCTTTTTCACGAGAAGTTAAGATTTTGACAAAATGTGTATTTTCTTATTTGACAAATATTTTATATCAGAACATAATAGCTCTGATAAATACGTTATTAGTCCCCACTGAATGAATATTTTTATTTTTTAGATACTTCTTCTCTTAAGGGGATACTGAAATCAATGACGGACTTGAACAATGTCGATAACGATCAGATTTTACATTTAAAATTTCTTTCTTATTTTCGTTATATATTGAGCAATGCTTCTATTTATTTTTGCATACACTTTTATGACGTGAAAGCGTTTCTGTGCAACTAATATTATGTAAACTTTACAGAAAAATGTCAGTATTTTGTCGGTAAAATTTTCAGTTTCAGCATCCCCTTAATGCATAATGCGTCTTTTAACGCTATATATTATCCGTTGTATATATTCGATTTTAATAATTTAAATTTAATCAAATATTACATTAAATTAAATTTAAATTGAATAAAAAAATACACAATTAACTGAGATTGGGAGTGGCTATTAATATTATTAATGATAATTGGAATAAAAGGTCATAAAAGGCTGATTCACTGCGTATGATAAACGCAGATATAATAATAAATAAAAGGTCGCGCGCGTTAGACACTATGTGAAACATTGTTATTCTCTTACAATATAAATTTCAGTTCGCGCACTAGCAACTGCGAATGGCTCTTGAAGACCTTAATTCTTTTACTTTAGTTTGAACACTAGCAAAGCCTGTACACATTTTAGTTTATAAGTTCCCTTTTTAAGCGATTCCGTATTAAAAAATTGATATTCACTGTTATTCTTCCTTGGAAGTGGTCCAGTGAAAAACATATTATTTTTTCAAAAAATAGAATAAGTGAATCCTTCAAATTAATTGACTCCACGAGGATTACACGCGTCACATAGTTTCAAGATACAAAGTTGCTTTCGTTATCGAGACGACAATCTATATCGCAAAATGATCGTTTCTCCAGCGAAATTCAATAGCGCGCTACTCGCGTGACGATCTCGGGAGCTTCTCAGCGTGAAGTGTCTCGGCATCTAAGAGCATCTCCGGAGTAGATTCCATTAAAGCAAAGAGTGTACTCGAAATCGACGAAAGAATAAAATTTCGCGCTTCGCCTATATCTCCTCGTCGCTCATAACTCAAAAACCACTAATACCTCGGCGTTCTCGTTAAGGGTAGAAGCGAAAAACGAAGGAGAAGACGAAGATCACTTCGCCGCGCGACGAATATCATCGCTCGTTCGCCGCGCGCGCTCCCTGCGCAGAATAACGCTCTTGTTGTCCTCCGATGCGTTTGAAAAGCTCTCTCCGTGATTACCTGCCTACGTGGGTGTACTTGGTGCCGCGGTAAGAGGCGAGCTTAAAATCGGAGTCAAGCTTAAAATCGCTCTCTCTTCCTTTCTCTCTCTCTCTCTCTCTCTCTTACTCTCTCCCGACCGCCACCGTCGTCGCGACCTACAAGCTCGGCCTGTCGTGACAGGAAGCGAGAACGTAGGTACGGCTGAGGTTAAGTATCGAGGATCGTCAGGCTACTCGACCGACTTCGTTCCAAAGATGAAAGCCCCCTCTTAATGGAGTACCATTGTCTGGTTTCGTCCAAGTTTCGTCGTCGCGACGTCCCGAGGTTCCACCCCCGGCGACGGCGTTCGTCGTTTTATCGCTCGGATTTTGGGTTCGACCGGTCGACCGGCCGGCTCGCAAGGTGGTCCCCGAGACAAGGAGACTACCCGCCGGCGTAATTAATGGCTTCATCAGTTCACCCGCCGCCTAATTAATTTGCCGTCTCGGACGTGTCACTTCTTCGAAAATTTCTTCTCTCTCTCTCTCTCTCTCTCTCTCTCTCTCCTTCGAAGCTTCTGTCGGCGCGTTCTCTCTCTCTCTCTCTCTCTCTCTCTCTCTCTCTCTCTCTCTCTCCTTCGAAGCTTCTGTCGGCGCGTTCTCTCTCTCTCTCTCTCTCTCTCTCTCTCTCTCTCTCTCTCTCTCCTGATACACGGGTTCGAATATTAATCGGCCGTGGCGGGGGTAGGGAAGAGGAAAGGAGAAAAAAGCCTAGAAAGACTCGCTGCCCGAGACAATGATCGAAATGCTCGTGATGGCGTGAATTTTTCACACGCCGCGCTGTGTTACAAGGCTGTCGCCGCCGTCTTGACGGAGTCCGGACACGTTACAGAATCGATCAAAACGAAGGACACGTGCTTCATCACCGGGTTATTTCTGAGTCCACGGCGGCTACTCTGGAATCCTGATCTCTTGCTGTGGCATAAAGGTATCGTAGCGATGTAACGTCGAATGTTTCCTGGGAAAATATTTATGGGAAATACGCGCCATTTATTTGCTTCTTACGCGGCGAAAGTATTTTACTACTTTAATAGCGTTGCTTCCCAATAGTTGCTGATAGTTAATTTATTAATAATGGACAAGGCGCGTCTCTGCGACATGGACTTACGTCGCGACGTGTTCGGGGAAAGCTCATCGAAATGCGAAAAGATCATCTCACGTCAATTATTGGACGACGCGCTTCTGCGAGGAAAGCGCGCCGGCAGTTATCGTTCGATCGCGTAATTATTAATTGGTTAGCTGTTTCGATATAAAACGAAAAGTGCCGGCACATGTCGATTCGCGCGCACGTGAGAGGCGATAATTTGCGAAACTCATTAGCACGCTCAATCCAATTTAAAACCCCTCCCTCTCGCTCTTCTCTCTCGCAGCCTCCCCGAACTTCTCGGCGCCGAGTTTCTGCGTGCATTATTATGCGTCGTGCATATGTTTCTAGTCGCGCATTAATCTACCGTTACGTCTTGACGATCGTGTTTCAAAGACACAATGTATCTCAGGATTATGTATGCATATTCAGGTGTATGCATATCAGGAGCGGTACTGAGAAGAAAGTCGCGGTTGTTTCGCTCTTGAGACATCTGAAAATGTTATGTAATTGGCTGCAGTTATGCAAGAATGTGAGATGCAACTCACGAAATTATGATGATTGAGTTTCTGTTTTACCAACGAACAGTTTGTACACGTTTTCCTACAACATGAAACGAAAAAGTCTTACGGATGCCTGAAATTAATTAAAAAACAGTTTTTACTTTTTCTACTAGCTACTTCATTTTTTAGTTGTTTTTTGCCTAGTTTACACCGAACATTTGATACGCGTACTAAATAATTTTAATATTGACAATGCATGTCAACAATGTATTCAATTGATATAATACATCTTCTTGATGAATATTATACTATAATATACGTTGTATGATACATGTATACTATAATACACGTTGTATAATATATGTATCGATATTAAGATTATTTAATAGAAAGTTACTATTTAATACACGTATTAAACGTTCGGTGTAAACTAGGCATTTTTTTATACATTTCTGTGTTTTCACTAGCCGTGTCTTTTTAAAGGTTGAACTTGTCAATGAATGCCCTTCTTTTTCAATGAATAAAAGAGAAGAAAATTGACCGTGCTTGACTTCTTGAACGATCGCGAAGAATCTTTTTCGGTGCCATTTGTACTTTTCAAATCGCTTATCAAATCTTCTTTTTCTCGAAACGTACTTCTCGTGTGCGGTGAATCCTTCTTGCATAATTGCGGCCAATTACAAGTGATCTTTTGCTTTTCTTTTGAAATTTGTAGGAAGCCAAAAAATTGGCTTTGAAATTTGGGAAATGAACTGCACTGCTGGCATTTCAGCTCGACTTCTCCTTGACAGATTTTTCGATTTTTTATCCAACAACCGAGACATTAACGTTAAAAATTAACTAGTCTCGTGGAAAAAACAGCGTACGGAAAAATCGCCGGGAAAACGGCGAGAAAGCACGCGACTCTCGATGCACATATATCATCATACTGATCCCTGCCAAAATTCGGACATTTCCTCGGAAGGACCGTCGAGCCGGCTTGACTCGCAAATTTATCATCGCCCATTCTTCTCTTCCTCTCCCTCCCTCCTTCCCTCCCTCTCTCTCTCTCTCTCTCTCTTTTTCTCTAGAACGGCACGTCGATACTTCTCGAGTACGTTGGAGGTAAAATCGCGGCGGGCGTTAAAGGAAGATCAGCGAGCTTCCCGAGATGAGACGGGGGCCGAGAATGACTCGACAAAGCGGAAAGCGCGGGGGATAGGCGAGGGGGAAGGAAGGTGGAGCGAGTTGCTCGAGAAGGTTACGGTAATCCAGCGAGCTCATCGTGTAATTTCCCATAAGGCGATGGCGGCAGGCGGCTTGTACTTCGCTTTTGTCGGAACTTTTCGAAAGTATCTTTCGCCACCCCGGTGTCTGCATCGACCCTCCGTCTCTCGCTCATCGTATCACATCGTTTGCACCCTCTCGAGGCCGTCCGCGACACAATGCGCGGGCCACGGTAAATTTAATTTTCCTTTCCAGAGCGTTATTTCTTTTAATCCCCGACAGTCTTTTTTTCTCGCGAATCATCCGCGTATTTCCCTCTCGTTGAATTTTAATCCGCGCCTGTGTATGTGTGTATGTGCGTGTGTGTATTTGCATGCGCGTGTTTTTTCATTAATTTGTTTTTCAATTTTTTATTTAACCCGTCTCGTCGCGAGACGCACTTTGGGACGGCGCAGGTCCGCGCGTGTCGCGAGGCTTAATTAGGCTAATGGATATCCGTAATTGATGCAACGAGACTGTCCACTCGAGTTCTGAATAACGCCCGCCGCCGACCCCGTCGCCGCCATGATATAATTCGCTCGTCCGACGAGAAAGCCGTCTCCGGGGCTCGTGAATTTTTCGGCCACGCGGCCTCGGTAATCTTAGGATGCATTATTCAAAATTTATCTTGTCTCGCGAGTTACGAAGTTCCATACTGTGCGTATACCGGCATATAATGCGGGAGCA